ACATAGTGCATTGAAAAATTTTGCATATTCAAATTATAATTAAATATTTGCATCACAAAAATGTAATTAATAGCCTCATGTTCGGCAGCATTTGCTTATTGAGTTAAGAAGTTGCTATCGTCACAAGAAGATAACATTAAAGGAAAGGAAGAAACTCTCGAAAGGGGCTCTCCGTGTCAAAAGTCATAATTGAGAACAGAAAGGTCAGTACAGTAATTTATTCGCGGATGTAAACAGATGCTATGTGACAACTCAACAAAATAAAGCAAAGAGAATGATGTTCACAAACCAGACCACGAAACGCTCAGCGGAAGATAGGATTGTCCTTTTGTCGGACTTGTGGCACATACGCGTACACGCCGACTAATGGCAGCTCCAACGTTTTTCCAAATGCGGATGTATCTGCTTTCCTGACACGGTTGTAATTCGGTCAATATCTTACGTTGACCGCGAATCATTGACTTTCTGATTGCAATTAAGTCAATCGCAGGCTATTATAAAAACCAACAATTCTACCAATTAACTGGTTAATCAGCCTCTGTTCGATATATCGACTCTAGTCGCGGAATATCAAATGAACACGGAGATAAGAAAATCGAACGCAATAGATGTTTCCTTCATCGGTCGGAGAATCACAAAATGATAGAAGGACTTTTAATCTGAAATAAAAATACAATCATAATACATCAAAATATATCTATATATCTATAATCGTATTAAGCAATTTACGATCCTGTTGATTTCGACACGAATCGCAGGTCAGTACTGCCGACAGACGGTCGAAGTACTTTAATAACGATCAATCCAGGCGAGATTTAACAACGCGAGGCGAAAAAAGCGATCTCAAATGAATTTAGATTTCGACCTCGCGGTCATGAGTCCTGAAAGTAAGAAGAAGCGCGGAAAGAGGAAAAGTCGCGAGAAAGGATGACAATTACGGAAGAAATACATATGGATTGACGTAAAAAAGCTCGTGGAACAAGAGGAGAGAACGAGAGGAGAATGAGTCCGTCATAGAACGGGTTGTGTTGTACGGACGTGACTACGACGGCGATCTCGGGCTCCGGCTATAGTGACGCGATACGTCGTATATCGCGGCTGATCGGTAATTAACCGGACGGGACGACCCACTTACCCACTAAACTCGAAGAGCCATCCGCCCGCGGTCGCCACCACCACTGCCGCCACCGTTGCCATCACCACCGCGCCGTGTTACCTTCGTCATCGTCGTCGGAATTCTCTCATTGAGAAAACCGCCGGCCGGACGATACCGGCGTTTCTCTCTTTCTCTTTCTCCTCCTTCCCGCCGCCGCCAGCACCTTCACCTGATCCCACCCTCCTTATCTCGCACTCTCCCGACCGGAGACTTTCTCTGTAGCGAGTACCGTTCGAGATCGTGGACCATCTGTGGCTGGCGCCGAGCGAGACAGACCAGACGACACGGGACCGAGCGAGATAAGACTTCGCCGTTTCGCCGAGATTGGCGTCAAGCGCCTCCGTTGACCTTGTCGAATCCGTTAGGAATGGATATTCCTCAACCAGTATTAACGGCTTTTACACTCGTAATTTAACTCGTTTACTAGGTACCGTTTTCTAGCTATAGAAAACCTGGAATTTTCGACTGTGGAATTCATATTGTGAGTGACGACAGTCGAATCGATGAGAGCGCAAAATCGTCTTTCGGGAAATGATAGGTCTAAGGGGATGCGTAACTTCGCTTCTAGCCTTTCGACAGGCGCGCTATCTGATCGCAATATAGTTTTACATTTCGAATTTCCAATTTTCTCAGCGTAACGATCTCTTTCATTAGTAGGTCTAACGCTCAAGAAACATTATTCCCGTTAAACACGTATGATTTTTACACGTGAAAAAACATTAAGTTTTTACATTATATTGAATATCTTTTTATAATTGTATTTACGCGAAAAATTGATTAGTATCTCCGAGATACATTGCGCTAAAGAAAATAAATATATAAGAGAGTGAAACGTCGAACGTAATCGCGCGCGCGCGTTGTTCGTAATATAGCGATACAAAATTTATTCGTGCGCAAATTCATTAACCCTTCATCAAGAAGGCGTGTTTTAACAAAGGACCCGCGCATAACACTTTCACTTAGATAATCTAGAAATACTCGTAGAAACTTAACCCAGATCTTCGATAAACGGCGCGCCCGCGACGCAATGCATTCTTCTTTTTCATTTTTTTTTTCCTTGTGGCATAACTCCAATTTAGCAATATTGACATCGCCGTCGCGATAAGTCGTTTAATAATGCGCATTAGTGAACAATAGATATGATCGCGTTGCGCGATTTCATCGCGGAATGCAACGAAGGTTGCACACGCGAGGTGTTCGTTTCGCGACAATGCATATACGCAATGCACACGCTGTACGGCTAGAGCGATCGTAAAAGTTGGCCGTAAAATCAATAGAAAAAGGCGAAGGGCCACGCAACGATATTGAGCAACCTTCTCGGGGCAGTCGCGTATAACCATTACTCCAGTTTTCGCGGCTTGCCACTGCAACGTGAATTACCGCAAACTTTTTGGCTTTAGGTAGATCGCCGCGCGATGACTAAATCGCGGCTCGTTTACTTTTCTGGTCTACTTGCTAGCTCATCCCCCGTGTCTAAGGGGGATTCATGAGCGCATTTCGTTATTCCCATGCATAAAGGAGTTACGATACAATCTGCGCGATAAGGCAAGATAGACCTGCTAAACCTATAATTTAGCGGAATCGAAGTATACATAATAAACCGAGCGATGTTTTATGTGGAGAAACGGTTTCAGACCGCCGTGAAAGGAAAAAGTTTCTTAACCACACGTCTGATGAGATATGAGCGAACTATGCTGAAAAGAGGATTTTGTTGTCAAAACAAAATTTTGGTACACCAATTTTGGTGCACCAATTGGATCAAAATGGGATTAATCAAATATATATTTGGCAATAGCAAACAAAACATTTCATTGCCGCTATGTGTTATCTCTCTCAATAACACGTATACTTGACACAAATAAGAAATATGTAATGCTAACCAAATCATGCGTAACAAATATGTTGTGATTCCAAATACAAAAATAACTTTGTGCACAATTCTAGTTGAAATTACCAGAATTTCATTCAAATTAACAAGATTCTGGTTAAGAAAACAAAATTTCTAGTTAACAAGATTCTGGTTGCTTGAGCCGGAATTTCTGGTTCGTTCATATTTCAAACATTCGGTTAATCTAACCAAATTGTGGTCTCAAGAGGATCCCGCTGTGGGCAAAATTTTATTTCTTTCGATGAGGAACTCGCGAAGATGTCCCACAATTTCTCGCGCGTGCTTCCTCCTCCAGAACTTCGCTAATCTCCACGTTATTTGGCAAGTAAATGGCAAAGTCATTAGTCATTAGTCGCATGTAAATTGCGCAAGACTCAACGAGCGAAAGGCTCGTTTAAAGAATGTTTACGTACAGCAAGTGACATCGCGATTACGAGGCGACCAGAACGAACAAGTACTACAAATCACCTTTCTTCGCCGAGCACATTATTTCCTAAGACGCTCCATAAAAATGAACGTGTGCAGCGGAACGTCGCGGTTATGTCATAAATACGGAAAACGCGAGTGTTCGAGTGTCACAAAGACTCGTGCAAGATGTCATCGTGGATGTGCTCGCTTATCACCATTGAACGAGCCGATGTCTCTCGAAGTGATGGCGAGACGAGGAAAGATCGCGCCGTAAAGAGTGTCCGAGGGGCCGATTACGCGCAGTACCTAAATCAGGCGCGGAAGAGAAAATCGACGAGAACGATTTAGGCGATTACATCTATTCCGTCGTCTGATCGTAACTTTATGAGCACGCGCTTATCTCATCGCGACGCTGTTACGCGTGAAAATTTGCACCGCTCATCGCTAATAACGACGGACCCACGGTAGAGCCACGAAAAACCCCCGCAATCTAATGGCCACGCGGAAGAGCGCGATTACGAAATCGATAATTTCCTCGATGGACGAGAAAGTGTCATTCTCGAATCAGCGTTACTCACCAAGGATGACAACAACGACAGCGACAACGACGATGAAGAGGATCGCGACAGTCACAGTGACGAGTCTTAAATCTCGAGATGTTACGACGTGACTACGGCGGAACGTTCGACACACAGTGGATTACTGCTCACGTCCGCGACTACAACCCGCGATTACGCGAGAGGAGTTTATTTATCGTGGAGCGATCGTCCACGTAAATGTTCGCGCGCAATTACGTGTGTAACTACCGTTAAATTCGCGTCGTCTCAATGGCAATATAGGTCACTATGTACCAGTAGTTGTAACTTGTTTCAGATTACACAAACTTAAGATATACAAACTCGAGCTTAGAATTATATACAAACTCGAATTTAGAATTACGTGTTAAAATTACGCAAATTATACTACAATTGTAGACAAAATCGCAAAACTCATAATTTGTTCTCGTAAGATTTGTAAGAACTTATGAATAAATCTGCAATTTTATATAACTCATATAAGAAGTGATAACTCGTAAATGTCTACGATTTTTCGTAAATCTTACGACTAATTAGAAGTTGTCAATAAAATTACGATTTGTAGATTTTACCAACATTACGATTGATTCGTAAGCTACGACTTTACGATTTTACGATTTACTCGTATATTTCCTTAGAATTGCATCAATTGAATCGAAGTTATTAATCAATAATGTTACATATATCATGTAATTCAAATTAAAAACTCAGATCCAACTCGAAATTCAGACCTGGGTATTTCATGTAAAGCAAACTTCAAGTGATGGTTATTAATACAGACCTTAGTTATCGAACTGATTCTCGAGATGACTTTGCGCTTCGAATATGTCTAACAACAAGCCGCTTCTCGTCTTTACACGACTGCGGATCCGCTTCAAGATATACAAACGGATATTTGGATGTAGCACGATATAGTAGAGCATGACAAGTCACTCGAGAGCGTTGCACGTTGCAATAGATGCCGAGATCGGCGGGTTAATCCGCTCGCGTATCCATTAGCTCGCGCCTATCTGGCATTGAAGTCTCCCGCTGAAGAGGGCTTCGGCTTCCAGAAGACGTCGAGGAATAGCTGATTAGAAATCGGCACCGGTTAGTCTCTGTCTTCGGATTAACGATGATGCCGCGAGATACAACAGGGAGAGAAATGATACACACATCTGTTCACTCGTGCCGTAATGGGGGAAGGTTTGAAATTATCCATCATCAATTTCGATGAAAGCCTTGAATATATTTATCCGTTTATTTGTGAGAACTTACTTTCCTCCAACATAAAAGATAATATCTCATGTATACACCTACAATATATAATATATATTTACAACATACCAAAGAAACCTAAAACGGAAAATAAATATTTTTTATGAGTGTTTTCTCACACGGGCTTGAAGTAATCTCGCAAATTTAATTCCACACACGGAAAGAATTTTATAGTAAAAATTATTGTAGAATTTATAGTAACTGAGGAATTAATCGACATTTTGCAATAATTTGCTATCTTTTTATTTCATATACGCTACTTATATTTTAGGAACTGAAATATGTTATTAAAAAATTTTTTGTATTTCCAGCGAAATCTACTGTGTTTCTAACGAAAGTTACTATGTTCCTTACAAAGGAACACCGCGAACTCGAGTTCTTTGATTTTGATACACTTTTGTGAGTATGTAGAATAAATCAGTACATACTCTTGTTAGTAAGATAGACTTTACTGACTGACTATTGTTCTCAACTACTAAGAATATAGTAAAAATTGAAAAGAATTTATATGAAAGAAAAAATATATATATAATATCTCTCCGTGCATTTGTTCGATCACGAGTCAAAGTCTCTGAAAATGTGAAATATACGAGAAAATTTCTCGCGCGAAAGTTTTATGATATTTAATACTCTTCGTAAAATTATGCATATAAACCTTCTAAAAATTTCATATTTTTCAAAACACCCTCGGGAGCCTACATTTTTGTTTTTACGAATTTACGAAAATTTTACGAAAACTTTGTGAAAATTTTCATAAAAACAAAAATAGAAAAGAATTTTACAAAGTTAATCGTGTGTGATAAAGTTATTTTCCGAAATCGCATTCTTAAGATACGAATCGTAAACGTCGCGCTGTAAGTGGATGCAGACGCGTCATGTCGGGCGCACCGCGGAGTAATACATACAAGCAGGCCAGACATAACGTATCTGTAGAGCTATACAAAAAATATCTGGTACAGATAAAATTCTAAACGTCACAGTTGAAATATGTTGTTCTTTTTGTATTTAAATACAAATAAAATTATCTAAATATAGATCAAATTAGTTGTGGTGCGCGTAGAATTTACAGCAGCACCGTTTTAACAATATCTGCTAATAAATTTAAATCGATGTAAGGATTATACATTCGCTTGTCTCTCGTCGCTAATTTTTTTTTACAGCCAATTTGTATAAGGAAATTGGTTTTAATCTGAATGGACACCACAGAGAGACTTCTTTACTAAATTTCACAAATATTTTAGATAAAAACGCTGTCTCTGTTATCTATATTGATTAAAAATGCAAAACATATGCAATATTGCAAAGTTCGTTAATCATTTGTCTATCTTAATTCCTCGTATCTAGGCAATTTTTGCCAAAACTACTTTTTTGAGTGTAGAATCACAGGATTTCATACCTTCTTATGCTGATTGGCAGTTCAGTTCACTGCATGAATCGCTATCGTGTATTTAGCTGGAGGATCTATGCAGCGAATTGAGTTTGCCGATATATCGGTATGCATATCAGAAGACATGAAATCGTGCATCACGTGATTCTAGCTTTTTACTTGCAGCATTAGAATTAGTAACCCTCTGGCATCGTTCTTGACTCAAATGACGTTGACTCAAATGGCGCGGTGATTTATTGACCCATACGGGAAATGAGACGGAGAAATAAAGCGAAAAGAGACCATGGAAAGAGAAAGAGGAGGAGGAGGAGAAGGGGAGAAGGAGGAGGAGAGAAGGAGGAAAAGAGGAGGCAGGCTCACATCCGTGCATAAAACCGCGCAGCGAAAGCGCAGCACGACGATGACACCACGATAACGTCGGTACTCTTAACGACGTTCCCGGCGATCTTTCTGACCCGTTGCGTTCCATGCAAAAGTAAGGTTCGCTTTGATCAACGAGAATTACACGTATGTGTAATCACGTGTGACGACGTGAACGGAAAGAGTCATCCAAGTGTCCCGGCCGATTACGGAATCGTATCCTCGAGTCGGTTTGCCCAGGGGCGCTCGGTGACAGAAAAAATTTATTTTGTCTCATTTGCAATCCGAAGAATTCTCGTCATGCTCTACTATCATCAATCTTGTTTTATTTTGTTTTATTTGCAATTCGTTATCATTCAATCCTTTCTGCGAAATAAGCGTGACGTGTCCACCTAGTCAGTAAAACCGCTCGCGTTATTTTCATGGGCAGAGCTTCCTGTGTCACGTGTGTCGACTCACGTGAGTCGTCGTGTTGTTTCAGCCTTGTTGTTGCATGCCCCATGTTGTAGACATGGTCCGTTTAGCCTGCCCAACATCGAGATGAGGAACCGGTGCTTCGCTATTAATATTCCTTCCACATTCCACGTTATAAAACGTGAGAAAAGATTTCTTAATATCTTTCGGAATAACATTAATAAGTAAGCACGCGTGACGATCTCGCAGAGGTAGACTCGTGTTCTTCCCTCTCTCTCTCTTCCTCTTTCTTCCTTCTTGTCTCGATACCCGTCCCGCCAGATCAACTCGCTTACGTGTTGTAAATAAGAATACTTCGATCTGGTTTTTCGGCAGCATTGACCCACAAGATTCCTTCGGTCTTAAAACCTGATTTCTCGAATGCATGGAATTTCCTTAATTTTATCCAGCTCAGTTGAACACGAACGATGCAACATCCGCATGCTTCGTTTCGGCATAAGAATTAACGTTGGCTTACATTTTCAGAAATGGCGTCGGCGGCAGCGGAATTGGTGGCGGAGAGAGAGCCGGAGCTGAGGATCGAGATGACCGACATGAACAGGAGCTTCGTGGGTGCTCAGGGTTTGGTCAAAATGGCTTTGGATCAATACACAGAAATTCTCACGACGGTCTCAGATCCGCGTGTCAACGATTGGCCGCTCATGGACTCACCTGTACCGGCCATTCTCATTGTGCTCCTCTACCTGTACCTCGTCGTCATATTCGGCCCGCGTATGATGGTCAACAGAAAGCCATACAAACTGAGAATGGTTCTAGTGGTGTACAACGCGTTCCAGGTCGTCTTCTCGTTGGGGATGCTGTACGAGGTGAGAAGAAGCTATTGCCGTCGAAAGTCTCGAAAAGTAACTTACCGATGTAATGATAAAAATCAACGGATCGTAATTACGCGCGAGATGTCAAATATCAAAGACGTTGAATAAGTAACGGAGTACGAGATGACAAATCGGAAGAATCGGGCCAGTTAATGCGATAGGAAGCTCGTGAGTTAGAAAACATGTAATTTGCGATCAGGCAACCCTTGGGCAGGAAAAGCGTGCTCGGATAGTCCGTAAGAGCAAAGAGAGAAAATGGGCAAGAGAAAGGAAGAAAGAGAGAGAGAGAGAGAGAAATTACAAGTGTGCATGTGTGTACATGCACGTACTTGCGAGAGTTCGAACGACCTTCCGCGAGAGTCACCCTTGACTTTCGCGTCTTCTTGCGGCTATCATTAGCGCCGGCGATCCGCCAGGATACATGGACTTGCTTAGCGATTGAAGCCGGTCGAGCAACTTCTTCCTCGTGGACGATATAGGTCACCATGTAAGTGTGCCGTCCGTGAGCATGTCTACGGAGATTGAAAAGGAACGGATCGTCGGAGGAGAAGTCGCGACGAAATATCGACGCGGACGATGCCGAATGAGCGGAGCGATTCTCGTGCGCGCGCGAGATTAGCATGGCCCATAAAGTGTGACGGTGAAAGGAGAGAGATGAATAGAATATCTCGCGTAATCATTGACAAAGATCGAGGAGGAAACCACGGCCTAGAACTATCTTACGCCGTGCGCGGCACAGAATCGCGAATTTTGCTATTACGCGCTATAATCAGACGTATAATTATTTTCAGCGTAAGAAACAGCTTAATTATTAAGCCGCTTTCGCGCGCGCTCACGCTCGAACGGACTATTACGTACGTGGATCGTTCCAAAAGTACGTGACCTAATATAGCGCGAATTTGACAAAATTTTTACTATCGTATTTCAGAGCCATCCTCTATTAGATTAAGTACGACAGTATAAAATGATCTCTGTCGATTAGTCTTGTTTAACTGTGTGCCAAATTGAACGCTTTGAGTGTATGTTCGTTATTTCGATTGTTTCCTCGGTTTTAAAGTGAACTGGTAGACCCAAGTTTCATCGACGGTTTTATCGGTACTAAAAGTCCTTCAGATTGCGGCGAAATTATGCCAAAAAGTGCGAGAAACGATCAGTTCAGTTTTTATTTGTATGGTCAAAGGCAGAATCCATCGCTCGTGGAGTTCACTTTGACGCACTGTCAAATAACAACTGATCAACAAATCAATTTATGTTGCCATAACTTATATTGCAATTCTAGAGAAAATCGTAAAACTCGTAACTTCTTCTCGTAAGACTCGTAAGAACTTATAAGCAATTCTATACGGGCTGTACGTCATACGATAACTCGTAAATATCTACGATTTCTTGTAAATCTTACAACTAACTAGAAGTTGTCAATAAAGTTATTATTTGTGAATTTTATCAACATTACGATTTATTCGTAAGCTACCACTTTACGATTTTACGATTTACTCGTATATTTGCTTAGAATTGCATTAACTTAATAAAGGGTGGTTCTGAAATATGGTTCTGAAATAAAGATCTGGCCGCGCTATCTCTGTATTAAGGCACACATTTTTTGAACGACCCATGTATGACAGGTAAGTCTCTTTATATACCGCTGCCTTACGACGCATCGGTCCGTCGCGCCGAAGATCTCTCAGTTCTCTCAGATGATGCGCACTCCTTTTTCCCCTCGTTGTTATGCGCGACTTATCGTTAACGAATCTGTCAATAAGACCTGCGCAACCGGCCCACGCGTTGCTAAACGCACACGTCGATCCGCGCGAAGTTAGCAGACGATCGCCACGACGTTTAAACACTTGCGTCGATGGCCGAGCGAACAATCACGCGACTGTTCCGATGCAAAATTGCACAATGTACGATCGAAATTGAGTAATTAATGGTGGGGAGTGAAAGAGGAGGCGTACTTTCGCATGCGTTGCTTTAACCCTGGAACCCTAAACATGGATAAAATTTACTCAGGCCAACTTTTCAAACGTTACCATTCTAAAAAAACATCCGTTCTATTTCTTCATTCTAACTTTCTTTAACTTCATTGAATCGAAAACATTAATAGATTCACATTCCTGTGTGTTGTTTTCTACACCGATCAAATAAAAAGAAAGAAAGGATTGAATTTCGATCACTTTTCTGTAAGTTATGAGCAGATAAAAACGCGCTGGGTAAAATTAACCAGTGTTTACATAACTTTTTGATGCTTGGGATTTTAGAGTTAGCCTCACATGACATCTTAATCGTTTCTTCTCGAACAATTTCCTTCTCGGTGGTCTCTCTTGCACACAAAACGATTAACAAATTCCAACGAGTCGTCGTAAGCACGTGACAGTTCTTGGATTGCCGTTGTGTACTCGTGATTCGGACCACTTGCGCTGTTGTGCAAATCACTGTGCCTGGCAAAAATGAAAAACCGCATGAAAATGCCGGCCGACGGCGGTATCGAGAGGGGGCGAACCGTACAAATCGATCGAGGCGAGTACATTGTGTTTACTCGTAAATCCTACATAGAGTTCCAAACTAGTTTTCTCGCCGCGAAGGCACGCGGAAAACAACTTAATTGTAAGAACTGAAACGTAATAATGTAGAAGTCGAAATCTCTCGACTGCCTTTACGCATGTGTGCGCTATAATTTACCGATAATTCGCTGATTATTGAAACGCAGATTCTCGGTAATTTCGGGTCTTTCGGCTGCGGAACATAACGCAGCGTAATTGCACGACGAAAAATGTTCCCCTGTAATATCCACGTGCGTCAACAAGTCGATGAAATCTGGCGATTACCGATTGTGTACATACATCGAGTGTCTGTCGAAACGCCGAAAGCTCGCTTGAAACAGAAGTATGAGGAGGACCGCGCGAAGGATCCGCGCGGAGTCCGCGTGAAATGTAAATTGACAAAATCTGCCGGTTACACACGTTTGCTCTGCTCTGACAGATATACGATCTCGCTTCTTAGCCTTGACCTACTCGTAGCCGTCATGAAGTCGCGCTTAGAATGTACTGAACGAAACATTGAGCAAAACACATACGAGATCGGCCGCTTTCGAAATTGCAGCGATGCAATGTACTAAGTACCAATTTCTCGAAAAACAGCGACACGCTGATGCAATGCAATGCCGACGTTTGCTAATAATAATCGATCGATCAACGTGATCAGCGCGTATCGCGTCCAGGTGGAGCAGACAGCAATGAAACGAAATCGCGAGAAACATGAAGATTATAGTATTACCAAGGCTAGAGAGCCCCATTGCTCATTGCCCAACCGACCCGCGATCTCTCGCGTGCGTTTCGTTAGCAACGCACGAGACATCCTGTTTTCAACTTTCCACAAAATACCTCTATGTCGATAACAGCGCATGTGAGATCGGTATGATGTAGTGAAATATCGTATAGGAAATCAAATAAGAAGCGAATTTTTACATGCAATGAAATGGATAATGAACAGTTGGATCTTACTGCGAAAGTTCACCATGCAAATGCAGCGACTAATCACAGCTTCTACCGTTTTCTGCTAGAGAGTCAATAATAAATTACTATAAATTCTTAAGATAATTCTAGCAATTGCTCAATGACTCCGGTTTTCCTTCTATTTTCTTTTCTCTTGGTTTTGTTAAAATTCACGATAATAACGGTTCTTTTCGCATAAAAAATGAGGAAAATTATACATGAATTGAACGCGCCGTCAAGTGCAATTAATAAGATAATAAAAGATATACTTCAAGAAAATTGTGAAAGTATCACTCGGCTTTATGCGAGATGTATCAGGTGATCGCTATAAAATATTACACTGGCGTGTAATTATTGCAGAGATTTGTCAGAATTCCCGTACAAAAATATCGAGATTCCCGTACAAAATTCGCGTACAAAAATATCGAGATCGCAGATAGTTTACAAATTGTCAAGTAAGCAATTAAAATAGATTCTTCACGATTCGACTAATGTCGATTATCACTGCTTATCACAATCGATATCTTCGTATTCTAAAATATTTAAGGGCTAATAAGAATCTACTACACAAGTGTAATAGGATAAGTAAAAATTTTCAACTGTGATATTTACATAGTCAAAACTATAAAATTTTTTTTACTAGAACTATAAAATTATCTAAACTATAAAATTTACTAAAACTATAAAATTTATTATAATCAAAATTATAAAATTGACTAGTTAAAAAATCCAAATGTTTCGGTCCTCAGCCGGAGCCTTTTCCGTAGTAGATAAAACATACACTAACTTACACAATATGACATATGAATGTATAATATAATGAAAGTAATATGAACAAGAAGAGCAGTAGATTTGACTAAAGAATTTTCTACTTTTGGCTATGTAAGCTACAGTTACGAGTTTTTACTTGTCTGATTACACTACTACAACAGTCTCTTGTTGGCTATTAAAACAGCCTATCAAATTTATCTAATCTTCGTATTCTGCGTGTTTTATTTCGTCAGTAACTTTACGACTTCATGTCTCTTTTCATTTTCTTTCAGCACTTAATGTCCGGATGGCTGCTGGACTACAGCTACAAGTGCCAACCAGTCGACTACTCCCACAATCCCTCCGCTGTCAGAATGGCGAATCTTTGCTGGTGGTATTTCATCAGCAAATTCACGGAATTCGCTGATACGGTACGGCTCATCTTCACTAGTCCCTAATTATGACCTTCATAATTTGCGGGATGTCGAATTTAGAGACTCGTATATTGTCGAAAAAAACACCGAACAAAAAATTTCGATTAACGATGCGAGAGTGTGCATGTTAAAACGCGTACGAGAAATTATAAAGGCGAAGGAAGCGTTACAATGTGGACACTTGGCCCAATAATGACGGTCGATTCAAGACATTGTGCTAAGATCGGTATCTCATTCCGAGGAGCAATTTCTTTCGATCTCTTGCGAAACGGTGTTTCGAAAATAGGAGAGGAAAGTAGAAAACGATATTGTGTTATAGAAACGCGTCGTTTGCGCGGAACGAGTATGAAATCGGCTCGACGTCAACCGGATTTCTCCCTGTCGATCTTGTTATTTTACAGGCGAACCGAGGACGATAAAGCCACTACTTCGACGCGCGCATCCGCGATCTTAATTTACACTTAGCCTCGAGCGAACGAGTATATTCACACCCGCGAGAATAACCGTCTCGAAATTTGAAAGTTCACCCCAGTTTCGCGTTCGCGTTCGTCGGAAAGGCATGTGCGCCTAACAAACAGATCGGTAAGTAACAAGAAATAATCGAAAAAAAAAAAAAAAGAAAAGGCAAGACAAATAGCCGGCCACTTCGTGAGAGGCGAATAATCGCGTACAAATGTTCGTATCCCTTCTCGCGGCGTAATAACCCTTAAGCAATCGTTCCCATTAGCGCACACAAGTGTACTACCACCAAATCGCTATCGAACACGCAATCGTGTCGGCCGGATTAAAGAAGTAGATAAGATTTAATCGACCGAACGCCGCGCTCATTCGCCAGCTCGCTGTCCTGTCGAAGAAGCCGGCAATTCGCAAAGCGGACGCGCTCACCTATCCTCCCCGCATAGGATGAAAGCGCCTAGTCCCAATGATGGACTGTTTCAACAGCGTATGAAATTTGAAGAAATGTCAGAATCATTACGCGTTGCTCACTTTCGAGACAGTGGCGATTATATACAAGGTGTCTGACGATGATATATAGAGCTCGTCTATAATACGCGGCATAAGCTTAGCGCAAGTTAAAGTAAAAGTTAATAAGAAATAAGAAATAATATGTTAGTAAGAAATAACAATAATTGATTACGCTTCTATACTCTAAGCCCCTTACAAAATAATTGATTACGCCCCGAAAATATCCGTCTTATTTAAGAGAAATACTTCCGATGTAAGGGAGTTGAGGTGCAGGTGGTTGTTTGCAAAATGATAGGAGGAATTTTTTGCAAAATAATAGGAGGAATTTTTTGCTCAGTTTCATCTACACGAGAGTTTTATATGATATCATCAGTTATATACATCGAAGAAAATCATATTGATTTCGTTAGTAAAAATAGATATCGTCAAAGTGATACAAAGCTATCTCGAGTCTCCGACAATCACCGCAGACGGTTATCACAAGATCGTTCACCTTCCTCAAAAGTCCGAAAACTGAGGGAAGAATAACGCCTCATCGTTAGCTTTCCTCGATTCGCGAGACATCTCTCGTTTGAAACTTGTAGCTCGGAGGCTAACAAACTCGATATTCCTTTATTTTCTTTCTCCTCCAATACGAGAATTAACTGCGTTTTTTGCGATGGTATTTCGAGTCATCGCTCCTTGACGCACGCAATTAACATATCCCCGATTCAAAGCCGTTCGATTGACCTAAAGGTCGCGGTAAGCGAGGTGTATCCGCTCCTATGCAAATCGCAAGTCGTTGTATTCAAGCTCGCACTAAGCAACAGGAAGTTACGAAATCTCAGAGAATATGCTATGACATGATTACTCGTCGAAATTTCAGATATTCTTCGTGTTACGCAAGAAAGAGAGCCAGGTGACATTCCTGCACCTGTATCATCACTCGCTAACACCCCTGGAGACGTGGATCTGCGTGAAATTCATTCCTGGTGGCCACGGCACCCTCGGCAATCTTATAAACAACGCGGTGCACGTAGTCATGTATGCGTACTACATGTTAGCGGCCATGGGCCCGGAATACCAGAAGTACTTATGGTGGAAAAAGCACTTGACCACGTTGCAACTGGTGAGTAGGCGTCTTCAAGCAAATGGTACCCTCTTTCCTAAGTTAACTATTGATTGCCCAAACCGGGTCGCGCATATTCGACGTAAATCCTGAAAGGAATTCTCGTTAAAAGAGAAGAAAAAAGAAAAAACCAGACAAAGCAGAGAACGACGAGACGAGTCTCGTTGCGCGGATATTTAATCTGATCCGACTTTCGACACTGTCTCGCGAAATAAATCAATACTTCCGCTATTTCGCAGCCCAGAGACGTGAACAAGCGCACGCGTTCGCGGAGCGAGAGTGCAGCGTAAAAATGCGACACGTGATCCGGCGTTTCCGAGGCAAGCGTACAGTAGCGCAGCATGCGTAATTTTTCGCGCGTGCGGATCAGACCGATTCGTGATACCTTCTTCTTGCACAACCCGCGAGTTTCACGCAAAGCGGATAGTAATCCCGCGTTGATGAAAGTGAACGGGTAGACACTACTGACCCACTGCGCGCGGTTTAGAGGGTGCACATCGGTAGCGCACGTGAGATATATTAATTAAGGTGTACAGCACACTTCTTCTTACCCCCCTCCTCCTTTTCCTCCTCCTCTTTCTCCTCCCTTTAACGCAATACATGCTCTCTTCTTCGAAACGCAACGTTAAGATTAACGATTCATCTGAGACTCTGAAAGAATTAAGTAGCGAGAGTATCGATTATGCGAACTAATCGCCGTATTCTCCTAGATACACATACTAACGGCTTAGCACGGGGAATGAATTAAAAAAAAGAAAAGTGAAATTCCGGCAATAATTTTCCACTAATAATTTCCTAATATCTATACCTGTTTCGCGCCGATAATCGAAGCTCATATACAAAGTATGTTTTGTTAATCAGCAGTTTTTCTTTTCTATTTATATGCGGTCTTTTATAGTCTGGTCTTTCCCAAACAGGTTTCGCCATGGCATTAGCATTTGTCATTACCGCATGTTCGCGGCGATTTTAAATCGATCGCGCACTTCTCTCATTGTATGCCGGATTATGACCTACAAAGCATGCGGATGAGTTTGCGAAAATATGATCCGCTCCTGTAAGTGTTCCTGCAATCGGAAAAGATGACGTCTAAATCGCAAGTCACAGAGAGAAAGAGAGCAGAAAAAACCGCCGTAAAGTCACCCAGTTAACATGATGAATAGAGAAACTCTTATTAGAGAAACCGAATTCCATTGCCCGTATTCGCCACTTAGGAAGAAAAAAGGAATATAGAACTTTCGCTGCGCTTGATAAAATTGCGACGACAATGAGAAGGATTTTAAAATCCTTGTGCTTTTGTTATCCGCTTTGAATTTTTGAAACGCTCCCTTGAGGCGTCGAAAAGCCGACGGGAAGAGCGCGGGGCGCGCCCACGGTATCGCTGAAATCGATTTTCCACCTGGACGGGGAAAGTGCACGAGAAACAATATCCGTTCCGGCGGCGGCGCGGACAAGCTGCAAGAACAAATTCGCGATCGCCCGCGAATTTCGTTGGTACCTCGCTAGATTGGTCGGTTTCGGTCCCTCTACCTAGGCAAAATTTCATGCGTCAAGCACCTGGTAGGGGTGAGGGAAAGTGAAAAGTACAACGTTGGGCAATTCTTGACTGACTCGCCGGTCGGACTTGGCCGACTACGTTAGAGGTGGCGCAACAATTTGACATTCCGCTATGCCATACGGTGTACACTGTGTGCACTACCCCACCATATCGCCATCATCACCACCACCATCATCATTCGTCGTCACCACTGACGCCACAATCATCACCACCGCGGCCGCAGTTATCGCCGTCGCCGTCGCCGTCGTCCTCGTCGTTGCAATCAGCGTCGCAAAGTACTGGCAAAGTACACACCTCGCAAAGCCTCACCTATATGTGCTTACCACCTATTCCAGCTTATCTCGCAAGACCATTGATTCGTTACATGCCGCGCACTTATGTATGTACGTCCGGCGTAAGTGTGTCCAGGACAAGCGTATAAAAACCGCGTGGTGACTCGCTTTTGTCCGTTCGCTGCTTTGTCCAACACCAAAGGCGAAGTGCGCCGCGTTCTACCGCGGAGTCCCTCTCGCGAGACAAGAACGCAGACGCAAGGATGCAACTGATCGCTTGTATCGAGAGAAAGGAGAAGAAAAGTGAGTCGGGGTTCCTTCCGTCGAAATCGCCCCGAAACGAGCGCCCGAGAATTCGTAGATACGCGCGATTTTATTTCAAGATTACACGAACTATTTATCACGGCTTACGCTCTGTAAATCTGATAGAGGAGTCGTTTGTTTAAGTAAGTGAGAATTAAAAGATCTTCAGCACATTTCGCGAAATTCCGCGAATGAGTACTGCGATGCGTCGATTGCAAATGTTAAATTAACAGTCTAATCAAAGAAAGAGAGAGAGAGAGATTTTGTCATAAACAAAATCCTTGGCATTTGTTTGATGTGTCATATAATTAAATAACAAAATTTAAATTATTCATACCGAAATTTTTTAATTAATTAAATAACAAAATTTAAATATTTATACCAGAAAATTAATTAATTAAATTAATTAAATAACAAAATTTAATTATTCATACCAAAATTCAGTTGTATTAACATAATGTTTAGTTTTAATGAACAAACCAACATGTTTTAATTGATAAAAAATTTTCTGCGGTTCTAATAGCACAAATATGTGGTTCTATAAACCAATAATTCCGTTTCCTTCAACCAAAATGCGTTTATTTGTTCATTGCAACTACAAACTTCATGTTAATACAATTGTACTATTTTTTCCATGCATATTCGATGACACTTTTGAGACTCACACTTCGACAAAAATACTTGTTTATGGAAATTTGTTCATGGAATACAAAGTTTATTCACAGAAGTAAATTTTACATTCTACAAGTAACTTTTCAAATATTTTTCCTCAGTACATGAAGCGGCTTTATGCTTAGAGAAGTACTATGTTTCCTCGCGATCGTTCAGCAGTGAATCTAGTTTCGCACATTTCGAGTGGGTACAAATTAGACCAAGATACACTCAAGAAAATGGTCTTGTAGCCGTGAATTATCTAGACAGAAATTAGCTAAGATGAATAAATGACTAGCAAACTCTACGACGTCGCATATGTTTTGTATTTAATCAATATAAATGACAGAGACAGAATTGCTGTCTGAACCATTTGTGAAATTTAGCAAGAAAGTCTCTCTGTGATGTCCATTCAAATTAAAGCCAGTCACACTTTTTATAAAAATTGACTGTGATAGACAAAAAAGACTAGCACGAGGAGAGACAAACAAATGTATAATCCTCACATCTATCTAAATTTACTTGGAGATATGCAAGCTTGCTAGAACTTTAAATGTAACACTTTGGATTCTACTGACCAATAAAAAATTCTATAGTTAGTATAACTGCCAGGTACAACAAGGCGCAATCGGTATCGAGGTGTGCGCAATTGTTCGCAAATGCACGCGTGCGGTGAATTTAACCGCGGCTGTCGGCATAGCGAAAACTCGGCCATACAGTTACCCGTACTTTCTACAAATCGATCAGCAGTGCCTGACATTTAATTACAATTCGCCCCTTCGAATAAAAGCCCCTTCTTTTCCTTTCTATACGTTCAGAAAAAAACTGTTTTGCTGGTCCAAGTGGAATTCCAAATGTCACATTTAGAATTTGTCGCTGCTTTTTGTATCTGCTAGAAAATTATAGTGACGCGTAGAACTTGCAGCAGCAGCATTCTAGTACTTTTTTTTATCTACATATTACACTTTTATAAAAAGTGTGACTGTCATTAATCTGGATGGGCGCCATATAGAGATTTTCTTACTAAATTTCACAAATAATTCACAGATAGAAATTCTGTCTCTGTCATCTATATTGATTAAATACAAATCATATGCGCGGCATTGTTAGTCATTTACTCATATCTTAGCTAATTTCTAGTACCTAGACAATTTTCGCTATGTGACAGCGACACCATTTTTTCGAATGTGCGGCACGAGTCCCCGGGAATAATTCGGGCGTGAGAAACGCACAATTGTATGAAACAAACCGGTTATTGCAGGAGCACGTTTCGTGTGCGCTTACGCACCGGTGTTATTGTTCATTCGCGACAGATTAATATCTCGCGCGCCGAGAGAAAGACATGAGAAGGTCCCGCGCGTCTCAGCGCTTCTCCCGAACGCCCGTCTAGAATTCGATTCAAGACGTATTTTCCACGGCCCATATAGACTTTTCGCGCTCACCGAAACCGAATTCCCGGCTGTAACGTATCGCTACGTCGTTTGTTTCAGGTGCAGTTTTTCCTGGTGTTCGTGCACAGCGCACAAGCCCTCATCTTTGACTGCGGCTACCCCAAGCTGGTGGCGGGCCTCCTTCTATTGCACTCGACAATCTTTTTCGTCCTCTTCTCCGATTTCTATCAGCGCGCTTATCGTAAGAGGAGGTCCATGAAGATGCTCAAGGACGAGTAAAGCGCGCACCAGGAGAAGAAGAAGAGACACCGTCGTTCCAATTACGCTGCTCGGAGACGCGTGTACACGCACAAATCGTGTACTCGTCCCGGAGGCGGCTCCACTTTTTTACACCAATGATGCGATTGTTGATGTTGAATGATGCGACAAGCGCCATCTTGCTCGTTTTACCGCATATCGATAGACGAAGGAGCTATCGCGAAACTCGCGTGTTCGATGAATGTGCGATTTATCGTGCCTCAAGAAGCCGCGACGTTCATTCGGCACGAATGAAAAGGCTCTGAAGAGAATTCGTCTTTTCCACATGCCACAGACAAATGTCTTGATCCTTCGGTAACAGAATCATTCAATTTGATAGTGAGAAAAATAAAAGTACACCACGCCGGACAAGAACCATTCGTTCACCGGCACAATTTATTAGGTCAGTCAAAAAGTTCGATTCGATTATCGATAGATAACCTCACGTCTCAATATCAATAAATCAGCAATGCTGATAACTGGTCGCAGTCGTGCAAAAATAGTTCAATCCACATAGAATATATTTCAAAAAAAAATATTGAAAATTTGACATGTGATTTAAAAAATATAGACATAATTGCATTGAGACAAGCTTAATTCTTCAATAAATCAATAAAAAAGACGCAATTAGTAAAATAAGGCTCATATTAATAATTATTACTTGAAACTTATGTCACGTGAGATAATCAAATTTGAGTGTAGAGTTAAATTTGAGTTTTTGATTGATTTGATTCGTATAATATATGCAATGTTACATTTGTAATCGCGAATTGAAAAATTTACATCAAACTCTGAGGTATATATTAATAGTTGTTACTTGAAACTCGTCTCATGTGAGATACTCGAATTTTTATTCAGAGAAATAGAAAATTCTCACTAAATTCCGAATTCAAATACTTCACTTGAGATGAGTTTCAAGTAATAATTATTAATTGACGTATGTTGAAGAACGTGCATTAACGAGATGATAGATTTGAAAAGTGGACAACGACGGTGATTGTCTGATCGATGAACAACTCGTTTCCGTCGATGCAACAGAATCAAACTTGACTCCGAATCGAATTTTCTTACCGATCCGATAGAATCCGTTCGCCGATGTTAAAAGGTCGATAGTTGCGAGAAACGAAATTTCAACGGTGACGGAGAAACTGATAAACGAAGTAGAAGAGTCAGTCGGTCAATAGGTTAATCTTCGCGTCGTATCTCTTTCCCTCTCTCGTATCTGTTCGATCGGAGAAACGTGCGCTGCTACACAGCGCGAAAGCGATGATGCAAGAAAAAAAGGAAATCCACTGGGAAATTATATTCCACGATCCACTGATGATAGATGTAGGTAATTTCGAGCGGTCTCGCAGATATCATATGGGCGAACTCATTACACGAACGCGTTAAAACTCCCATCCACGACGATCGAGGTCAAATGTTTCACTGGCGCCGGGCACTGCAGATCATTTCCGTAAGGAAGAAGATCGCTATTTATCCATAGTATATCCATATCGCCCGCGGATTGCCCCAGGTAACGCGAGCACTTCGAAGCAGAGCTTCCGGTGCACCCACCCCGCCCGATTTTCTCGAAATTTTCGTCGTCCTATTTTGATTGTGCTAAATCAGATTATCAAAATGGAGCGTTTAACGCGCATGTAACGGTGATTAAATAAGATAAAACACGAAGCACTGAAAAACAAGTTTCCGTGTCACAGCTTCGTAGTTTCTAATGGTCGATAAACATGACAAGACGAGAACGAGAGGAAACGGATACGCGCGTTGAAAGTTATATCGGCCAGTAGAAAAGAGACGTATTATGAGCCTTTTTTTTCTTTGGAAATCCTATATTTATATTGAGACAGAAAATATTTAAGAGAGAGGAAGAGAGAGATTTATTTTTGGTTAGTATTAAAATAATATAGTTACTTATACTTTTTAATATCAAATAAGAAAATGCACATCTCAAAGCCTTAACTTTTCATGAAAAAAAGAAACTATTCGAATAAAAGAATTTAGAGATTTAGTAGCAAATAAATATATTATTAGTACCCACACACACTGCATAAATATTTCATATTTTTCAGACATCCTTTTCTCTCAGTGTATAAATTCACATATTTTTTTAACAGTACTTATCGGTATGTATCTACTGCGCGTCAATTTACTGCTGAATCAAACATCACGTTTCTCTCTTTCATCTTTCTGTTAAGGGTGATCGCATGACAAAAACTCGGAATAATTCTATTCTATGTCGGGCATGCCGATTGGCGTTTTAATTTATATAACTCGTTTAAATTGCTACTTCATAAGAGTCATTAAACTTCGCCGATTTTTTATAGAGTGGAATCGTTGTAAATATAAAAGCAATTGGATCAAGCGGGCTCTCTGGGACTTTTCTCGGTTCTGGAGAGTCGCGTCGAAGAGTTTTGCGACTAGCGTCTTCCCGTTCACTCTCGAGAGATAAATGTTGACGGTGAATATTTTATAGAAATTACGTTTGAAGTATTATCGCGACTGTCGGCTTTCGTATGGGATCTCGTGTCGTGTCGTGAAATCACACGAACAGAAAGTCTCGCGTTTTCTCGCCGACACCGACGAGACTCGCGGATATGCCGCAGTGCGGTACGAATGATGAGAAATCTGCACTCATGTCAGATACGAAGGAAAAGTAGCGAACACATAGAGAATGATTCGCGCATCTGTGTGAACGATGCGCTTTAAATCCCGATGAACAAGACTCAGACACCGTAAATGTCTGTAAAAGAAACGCCTCAAAAATACCTGAGAGACATCCTAGTTATTTTAGACATCTTTTAGGTGTCTCCAAAACGTATTCTAGACATTTACGTTGTCTGGGATACTGTTGGGGTACGTAATGAACTTACAGCGTCTGCAACATGTCGAGATCGCTCGAATTGCCACACTACAATATATTGTATTTCATCGTCTCTCGCGTCCTCAACTGAACTCACTATTCTCTGCGCGATCGGGGAGGTAGATTATTATTTGATTTAATATGGAGAGATAATCACACAATATTTTTCCATCACCACCACCGTTTATTGCCGTCTTCACGGTCGTCCGTACGATACTTTTCACGGGATTACGTAGCGGTGTGGGACGCGAGGGTAACACGAATACCAAATACACGACGGGAAGCCGGCACGGGCAGCGCGACGCCCGACACGACGATGCCGCCGGAGAAGAGCCGCGGGTTCGCAAGCCCCGCGGCGCTTTCTACTTTATCGATTGCCCGGATGAAGCTGCGCAGCTATAAAGAGCGCGGAGAGCGCGCATCCCGTGCGTGTAGTAAGCCGCAGAGAGACGCGGCCGATCGCGCGACGGACCTCCGGTGTATTTGTAACAATCGATTGTATTTGAACAACGATAAGTTATTGCTCTCGGACGCGAGAGAGCCCGTCTCGCGCGAGACGCTATTCTTTACCTCCAATCTTAGGATTATAGCGCCACAAGTGGCGCATGACGATTGCGTCCTTTTTGTACATACTGTATCTCTTCTTTTGTAATAATAAATAAAAAGTTAACTATGGATCTTATACGTTGTTGGAGTCTCTATCGAGATTAAGCCGCGAAACTAATTACTCGGTTCAACGTGCAAGGAGAATTGTTCACGAAGAGACAATTCGCACACGTCGACCACGCGCGAAATCCATTTCACGAGAGATCGACGTTTACCTTGTAACATGTAACAAATTGTAAATTAAATGCTTGAAAGTCAACTTGTCACATACGTTCTCGCGATATAGGTTCCAAACAAATAAAAAAGGAAGATTGATGGAAAAGAAAAAGAGATGTAATGCAAGTTAATATTGAATGATTGTCATCAGTCACACTCCACCAAGTGGAAATTCTATTTTTTGCTGTACAATTTATTAATATCGCATTTATATCGCATTTATTCATATCGCATTTATATACAATACAGTTGAAGCGATTATTCCATTATCATATATGTATCCTAAATTACCACGACAAAAGCCGATTTATTGAAGTTCTATACAAGTAAACTTTCAAGCAGCTATTGCTTGTTGTTTCTGTTGTATTCTCTTCTTTCTCTCAAGGAGACGACGTTCCCTCTCGTATTCTTTCAATCTTAGGGTGGTACTGCAACAGGACAATATCTATTAGTATATATTTACAGAATACGATATATAAAATATAGAATGCAGAAATGTACGATATCAAACAATGTGTCTTTATAGTTATTATAAATACAATTGTAAATCGTCGAAGCAATAACTTACTCTTCAGCTTCGCATCGGAAATATTCGTGTCTCTCGTGAGCACACTTCAACATGAAAGGATAGTGACGTCTCATGCAGTATAGAAGATCCATATACTTGTGAGCACAGAAATCACGTTTATCGAGTGGGATCTTTGCGGCTATCATGTCCTCTTCTGATACTGGTAGCTCTGTAAATTCGTCGAGCTGAGCAAAGATTAAAGAAAAAGCAGATATTCCCTAAAATCTGAACAAACTTAATGGTTAATATTCAATTTATAGTATATCATATTACAAAGTCTTGACTGTAATGGTATTGACACTATGAGTTACTATTAAATTTGTTTCAATTCTCTTTACAACACTATGAGTGAAAAAAGATATGATTTCATTTAAAAAAGTGAAGAATAACCTTTAATTTTTCACAAAAAAAGAACGTTATCGAAATTTTTATTGTATTTTATTGCTATTTAAGAACCAATTAATTGCATCTAGAACTTTTTCCTGCTAAATTATTGTAACTGGTAAAGATATAATGGATACCGTTATGATAAGCATCCTATATATACTATTGCAATAGTATATATGATATACTAATTTAATTCTATAAATTAACAAGCATGATAGATTAATTAATATTTATAGATTTTCCAATTAAAATGAAAATTAACAGAATGTTACAGTACGAATCTGTCAAGGGAATAGAACCACATAAGTAAAATTAATTGGATGAATCACTGATTATATCAATTAAATGTGACTTGTTCTGGCTACAATTATAATATATAATTAAATTATTGTGATAAAATTTAAAAACTCGCTTTCCATGTATCAATCAAATCATTCCAAAATAGCAATGGAAACATACTTAGCTCATCATTTTTAAAGCAAAGTTATCATTAACATGGATTCGCAAATATATCAAGTATTCAATATATACTTACCATATCGAATCTCATATCTTATCAACAAATGCGAAACAAATTACAAAAGTAAATAAATAATTTAATTAAATACTGAAAGAGACTGTTAACCCTACAATTATGTCATACATTCGAAATAACGCGATGATAATACATGAAAGTAAAAAAAAACAAAGCAAATGCATTTTTAAGCACAAAACCGGGTGATCGATTTTAAATCTCAATCAACAATAATAAAGATTTAACAGTCGAAAGTTTCGCACATATAAGGTTAGATTCAACTGCCAATACTTGCCCCTGACTCTTCGACCCTCTGGAAATCCAAGCATCGGATCGAACGTCGGTGGTCCCTCGGGAACCGGCATCACGTCAGTTTTCGTGAAATGAGTGGCGATAAAATTACCCATTTTTCTCGAAAATTATATCCAGTAAATAATCGCAAAAGTGAACCACAACTCCACAGTAATATATCGTACTGACATCTGTGACTCAACTTACATAACACTCGTTCGAGTATTTGTGTCGAGTTTTGCAGCGATTATACTTAATATACAGATTGTTGCTAAATAAGCGAATATGTGAAAATTTATAAGCGTATATAGTTTAATTAGCTCGGACACACGATCTCCCGTTAATGAAAATTACCAACGAAAATATCTACAGGCACAAGTAATTTTTCATACGTTTCGAATGTTATTAATGTCTGATTATACATAAAGCAAAAAAAGACGAAAAAAATGCACAAAGAAATCACACATATACACAAAACAAATATTATATTAATATAAATAAAATAATATGCAAGATTCGATTCAATTTTACATTAGAAGGAATAAAGAGCAATTTTGGTGATAACAAGACAAAGTTCTTCTCAAGTGAATCTGTTTATTCGGATTTTTTGCTGAAATAAACATACCAATATATTAAAATTATGTTCGTATATAACATAAGGAGTAATATCGCTTCATGGCTACATTTTTTATACTATTATTTTTATTTTTTTATGACAAAATGGATATCTGCGTTTTGCAGCGACAATATATATATATGCATTTGTGTAGTATACAGTTTCTTATCAACTTTACATCATTACGTCCATCGCTCTTTCGTCAATCTAGATACTTACAATAAGGGGAGGTTTATCTTGAACTTAAAGCCCTATAGTTACTCGTCGTGGCTATCTTGATTTATGACGTTAGATGAGTGAAGATATGTTTACCCAAAATTCCTGCAAGGTACATCAAATAAAAAGATATATATAAAAAAATAACACTTTCAATCGATTAAGCAATACTTAAAATATCCCACACACTTTTACTCTAACAATCAACAATAATTGTAAAATTAACGTGACAATAACGCGGATGTGTTGGTAAAAAAGGCAGGTTGCGTCTCGCGTTAATTTTACGGTTACTCATTGATTATTAGAGCAAAAGTGTTTGGAGTATTTTAAAAATGTTGCTTGATCGAGTGTCATTTTGTAGAGATATCTTTTTATTTCGACGTAGGACTTTGCAGGAATTTTGGACATGCGTTTTCTTGCTTCTGACGTCATCAACCAAGAATTTCGCGGCGAGAGACCAAGAACCTTAAGCTGTAAACGTAAAACGTACAAAATAAGGCGAGTTAATCATCGTCCTCCTCCATAGCTTCCAATGTTCCGTTTCCTAAAACATATATACATAAGTTGCGCAGATCTACACTTATCGTGTATTTCATTTGCTACACCATTGTATGTACCGTTCTGCAATCGTTCTTCGCCTGGTATATGGCCAGCCTGTAGTAGCTTGCTAAGTCTCTGAACTTCTTCCAAGGAGGACGCGTTCGTGATGGCCTCACGAATCTTTTTACGCTCCTCAGCAGAGGTAAGAGGTTTCTCCGCGGATGTGCCTGCTGTTTGTGCCTTCACCTTTTTAGCTATCTCGCGCGCCATTTCCTTGCCACGTTTGCTCCTAAAATACTCTATCGCCGACTCGCGTTCCCTTTGCTTAATTTTCCGGAAGTCGAGCAGCCTGAGCTGCGGGAATCTGTACACGACATATTGTCGATAGTGCTGCTTAGCTGACACTGGATTTTGTAGCAGACACAAATTTGTGAGGTTTTTCAGCGGTATAAGAGGCTCCAAGTCTCCTAATTCTTGTATCATGTTGCCAGTCAACATTAGAGTATGTAAGTTTGGTATGCAGTTCTCTAAGCCTTCGGTGATTCTGACAATACGATTGTTATTGAAGAATAAGGTTTTGATCCGTTTCAAGAGCGGAAAACCATCCAGCTTACGTATGTCATTATCTGAGAAGTCTATAGTGTCAAATTGATCCTATGGAAAAAGAGAAGTGAACACTTAGAACAATTGTGTAATATTTTGGTATGTATCAGCAACTGCTGCTTGAAACTCGCTCAACATGAAGTACTCAGACTCTAATTAAAATTTTGATACAAGTTTTTCCTTTGAATTGCAAATACAATGTCATATATGTGATTTATCTGAAAAAAAATCTAATACAAAATTCAAGTCTTTTACGTGAGACAAGCTCTATATGACAACTATAAATATAAGTCTGAGACTTTGTGTAACAAAGAATAAAAATTCACTGCACAAAGCAGAATGTTTACCAAGGTCGCTCCTAGATTCTCAATCGTAGGTATTTTGTATCCTGTAACACAAAAACGGAACAACAATCACACGATAAACACAATACGTAATATGGCAACAAAGCAAATCAAACAGCCAACGTAGGCGATTTTTTACAAACCTCTAAGATCTAACTCACGATCTCGCACAGGATTAATGTATTGCATTGATTGTTCTATTAAATCTGGCGTAAGTTTCACCATCGTGAAGAAATATTGTGAATTGCGGTTGGGAACTTTCACCTGGTAACGAACATACAACTGTTCCTAACCTACGTTCAACAACGCTCTCTCCTTCCCTTCCAATAACTGGCTTAACTGCCATTAGAGAAAGGAAGAAAAGGGCCGGTTTTAAACCAGCGCCACAGATGCTTGTTTTCATGCTGGATTGCTTGCTGGATGGAAATACTCTGTTCTGATTGGTGCATTTCTAAAGACGGACCAATCAGAATAGAGTATTTCTATCCAGCAAGCAATCCAACACGAAAATAATAGCATGTTCGACTGGCTCTGGATTAACCCACTCTTATTCAGCCTACATTTATTGGTCAAATAAGTACTTATAAGCTTTATGATTGGCTAGTAGAGACTTATGAAGTCATTAATCGCTCTCGGAGCGACTAACCTAGGGCTAGTCGAACACTATTAGACAAGATATATATATAGACAAGAAATATACAGAGAAAATAAGCGCATCATTCGAAGGCCTCCAGTGCGATTAGACTAATTGCTCTAAGGCATTTTTTCGTTTCGTGACCACGATACCGTTTAGTTGATTGGTTTGGTCCACTTAACGCTCATAACGCCTCGAGCAACAAAGATAGAATGACGCTCGTGGCGTTGCGAGCGTTAAGTGGACCAAACTAACCAACCAAACGCTACTGTGGTTACGAAACGAAAAAAACGCCTCTAAAGCCAGCGGCACCCAATGCTTGTTTTCGCGTTGGCTTGCTGGATGGAAATACTCTGTTCTGATTGGCGCATCTCTGAAGATGGATAGAAATGCACCAATCAAAACAGAGTATTTCCATGCAGCAAGCAATCCAGCACGAAAACAAGCATCGTGTGCCGCTGGCTTAAGTAACGGCCAGCTATGAGCTGCGTTCCGAAATTCACTGCCAGTGCTGAAATTCTATAGTATACGCGACATGAACTATAGAATTTCAGTACTGGCAGTGAATTTCGGAACACAGCCATAATCACTACAGTACCGACGAGGTACTAAGATCCGATCTACAATAGATGGAGTAAGAAGTAGGAGTAGGAGTATCTCAATCCAAGTGGTTGCCGAAAAATTGAAGCCTGAGTTTCGAATGTGCAGGAACCTTAAATACGAATACGGTTCTTTAGTGTGCAGAAAGTAATGCGTTTGTCAGACAGCACACAATATTTATGATAAATATTTATTTCGAATTATATTTCTTAAAAATATTATATAAATATAAATATTTTATATAATATAAATATTTTTATACATGAAGGAAAAAGTATCAAAATCTTTATTGAAAATATTATTAAAATACAGACTAAATATTTTATACAATATTTATAGTACACGAAAAATAAATATTTGTAGTAATATTTTGTAAATATATCTATTTACAAATATTATATATAAAAAAATTAATGTAATTATTTAAAATTATTAAATTAATAAAAAAATAAGAAATTCGAATCTCAGCAATGGTAACCAAATTTTCAAAGTACAATTTAAATTCAATTAAGTAGCGTGTGAAACAATAAAGTGGAAATTTTAAGAAAAATTCAGGAAAAGAGAAAAATATATATAAATGTATATATTTTAATAAATATTTTTATAATATTTATGATATATATATATATATATATATATATATATATATATATATATAT